GTACAACATTGTCAGGACAATACTAGTTTATCTATATCTGGGTAATGCTGTACAACATTGTCAGGACAATACTAGTTTATCTATATCTGGGTAATGCTATACAACATTGTCAGGACAATACTAGTTTATCTATATCTGGGTAATGCTATACAACATTGTCAGGACAATACTAGTTTATCTATATCTGGGTAGCTATACAACATTGTCAGGACAATACTAGTTTATCTATATCTGGGTAATGCTATACAACATTGTCAGGACAATACTAGTTTATCTATATCTGGGTAATGCTATACAACATTGTCAGGACAATACTAATTTATCTATATCTGGGTAATGCTGTGCAACATTGTCAGGACAATACTAGTTTATCTATATCTGGGTAATGCTGTACAACATTGTCAGGACAATACTAGTTAATCTATATCTGGGTAATGCTATACAACATTGTCAGGACAATACTAGTTTATCTATATCTGGGTAGTGGGTTATAGGTATGATTAATAATATATACGTAGCTATGATTTAACATTATATACTTAATTGAATACCTCATGACATTGAGTAGCCACAGGAAATTACAATTACTTTAGTAAGTTTTAACGCTAACGCAATTTAAAAAAATTAAAGTTATTCTTTTCTTACTCTTTCTACTGTTATGTAACTAGGCCTTTATAAACTACCACAGTCGACTGGTTGTTATTTTTATTTGTCTCGGGTTAGAACGCTTGAATTTCTAATCCTCCGTTAAAGGTGCTATCAAGCATGTTAACCTCCCTGAACAAACGTCTCAGATGATTCACTTCAAGTCAGCAGCACATATAGAGCGCCATGCTTCACACAAGCTTCAAAATAACTTACAGGACAAACCAACATCGTTCTGTTACATATGTAGTATAGGGAAATAAGATATTTTACATTTAAAAATGAACAACATAGTGTTTATAATAAAAAAAAAATAAAAAAACCTAAAATGAAGCAGAGAAGTTTTCTAATAAACTATTCACACGTTTCAAATGGACGAGTCGCATAGCCACATCACAATTGCCTTCACAATGTATCTCGAAATAAAATGTATAGACGACTGAAGTTCAGATCTTGCAGTTATTAAATAGGGCAGTTAATACATTAACGGAAAGTTGAAAAATTATTGTACTTATATATATATATATTCATTTTGTTGTGATACTTGTACATTCAGGAGTTGGATGGAGAAAGATTATATTTTAGAAAAAGATGTACAGTGGGTGACCATATCTTTTCCCAGCATGACTAGCAGTTTATACATGTCACTGTTTTTTTAAAACAATCATTTCAACGGTTTTTCACTACTGAAAACTCATGAATATATTCCCCGACTAATTCAGTATTCATGTATGCATACGTTGTTTACTGACTTCTAGCTTGGAGAGGATCGGAGATGAGTAAACAATGGCTACAATATTTACCAGTAGTTTCTGTAACAAGTTACGGAGGCAATTCACGATGTTTAAAGAGCGGTAGTCGTCGCACTTGTGTTGATAAACATTGATTTTCCCACAATCCAATGCGCTCTTCAAATGGAAATCACGAGTATGAGGTTTGACCTGGGCGCGACTTGCACTGATTACCGCCGGTGACTTCTTCGATACCTTCCAATAACATGAAAATTGCTTAATTAAAGGGAACCTCAATCCAAACAACATAATAACCCCTAAAGAAAAAGCTCCACCAATGTAGGAGAATGCAATTTACAGTTTTGTTGTATCACTTTTCATTCTCTAGATATTCCACTTTTCACCAGTATTACGTCGTCAGCCATCTTGATGTTCAAGCAAAGGATTATGGGTAAAGTATGACATCATACAATCTGTTGTCATAATTGAGAAAAATGATTTCATCTATAACTTCAAAAGTTGAACTTCAGATTG